CTTAATTGGCTTTAAAGTGTTTTGTTGTCTCTTTCATTTTTTTTGGTACATGTCTCTTTCATTTTTTCTACTTGGGATTTTCAAACAACTCATTTCACACGTTCTAGCTGGAGGAACTTTCTGCTCCTTACAGATATTTTTCCAACAAAATTATCAAAAGTCAGGGACAAAACAGGTTTAGTTTAATTTTTGTTAGAAAAAAGAGGAAAATTTGAGAAAAATTTCGTATATAATGAAAAGTTAGATCTATTGTCTATACTTAAAAACATATTACTTAAATATAAGGTAAGCATTTAACATAAAATTAATAATAAATTAAGTGACATTTATTGTACTCATTAGTTTACCCAACTTATCATGTGAACTCTGGAGGCTCAGCCTCTACACGCATAGCAAACTAGCCATATATATATTATTATATACCTGATGATTTCTAAATCTTCAAAAGAAGAAGAAGAAGAAGAAGAAGAAGAGGAGGAGGAGGTGATTCATGGTCAATCTTATTTTTCTAATTAGATATCCATGATTAATTATATTAAAAGGGGTTGGCTTCTTTGGGATGCCCACGGCAACTTGGCTATCTAAAGAGGAAATTTCCATGTGAACCAACGAAAAATGCTCACAAATTTAATGACATGACATCTAAGACGTTGACCAGAAAATAGTTCAAATATAATAAGAGTAGAAAGTGTTGTCTAAGACGTTGTTTATAAATATATCGCTCAATCATGTGTTTATTAAGTTTAGTTACTTATCCCTACCGTCCCTCCTTTCCTTAATTATTATTTTATTCCATTTGTTTTACAATAATTTTTTAAAATTAATGATTTAGGGATAATTTATGTATTTATTTATATTTTTAAAAAAATTTAAAAATAAAAGAAATTTTTTTTATAATAGTATAAATAATCAAAATAAATAGATAATAATAAAATTAAAGTAAAAAAAATTTACCTTAAAAAATAACAATTAATTTGAGACAAATTTAAAGTAAAAAAGACAATTATTTTAAAATAAATGAAGTATTTTTTTTATGATAAGAGATAACTAACAATGTAATACTACTACTTCCGTTCAAATTTAATAGTGCTATTTGGAATTTTATAATATGAATTTTAGATAAAAATTTAACATGTTATATAAATAATAATTAAATTTTTTTATCAAATAAAAATACTTAAGAAGAATTATATATAAGTAAAAAAATAATTATTATTTATATAAATTATTAAATTTTCATTTAAAATTTATATCTAAAAAGTTAAAAAAAATTAAAATAAAATAGCTAAATTTAAATGGAAGGACTGTTATATCATCCATTGTGTGTGTCAATTTAGAATGTCTTATGCCAGAAATCTAAGGCCTACATTTATAAATTTTTTTTTAAAATGTGAAAAGGGTTAGAATTGTACTAAATTATTCTTCATTAATAATTATAAAATGTATTGTGTTCACAAAATAAACTATATATTACTTTTCTAAAATGAAATCACGTGTGTTGAACACAAACAATTAATGTTGGATCTATATATCCTCAACTTGTTTTTTTCCGTTGAACAGAATCAAATAATTAGAATCGAAACCTTGATTTCAGGTTTTTATAAAATGCTCCAAGTTAACGAACCCAATCCCATTTCCATAACTTAAAAAAAAAAAAAAAAAAGAGAAAAAAAGAAGTAGCCTGGCTGGTTGGATACCCAGAAACTGGGGAGGTCAGTTGACGTCTTGATGACTTGATCATGAGTCATGAATAGAGTGGATATATATTCTTGGCACTAGCTAATTTGCCACATTTTGTGTCTTGTCAGTTCAAAAATTCAATTGTATATTATGAATTAATATAGGGCCCAATAATTAAAAGGTCTAGTAAGCAAGATCTTAGCTACTCCTGATCTTCACAAGCTTAACTACTACAAGTCTTTGCTCAAATATAATATGATAACCTATTTGTAAGGTTGTTTTTTATTTTATTTTATTTCAGTATTAGAGTTTAAAACGACTTAAATGTTATTTATCTATTAAAAATCGCTAGTAATAAGAAGGTTTCTAACTTTGTTAGCTGGGTCAACCCGTGTGGACAAATAAATGCTAAATATATACCAAAATAATTGACATAATTTTCACACATTAATTAATTTTTTATTATTAAACATTTAAATGGGAAAGGCAACATTTTGGTTTCAAACATATCATTTTCTGGGTTAAACGTTTAACTTAAAGCAAAAATCAAAATGTTATGATACGTTAAATGTTAGGATTATATATAAAAATTTTTAAGTATTTTTAATAAATTTTTTTGTGTATTGATTTATTATTATTTTTTACATTTTAATTATTAGGAGTCTTAATTTTTCATAATTCCTTTAAATTTTACTTATATACCAATGACATCAATTGCAGAGAAATACTACTCTATAATATTTTAGAAACCTTGATAACCAATTATAATAAAGGCAAAGGTTTTGACCAAAAATAAAATTAAATAATCTGTATCTGGTTAAGGAAATTTTATACTGTAATTCAAAAGAACCTGGATCACCTAGAAGAACCTAGCTAGCAAAATTCGATAGATAGAAACAAAACTCCCGAGAAGTTGGGAACACCATTTTAAAAACTGTTGGCATTGATATTAATTACCGACCGTTAGATGCATAAGACATAAGATAGGGATTGACGTTTGAATTAGTATTTAGTTTGATGTTGGCCAAATTCTGAGTTTATACGGATAATAAAAATATTATAGTTATAACGTCACGTGATATTATAAATATGTAATATGATGCGTTATTATATAATTATTTATTTATATTTAAAAATTTATTTATGATATTATATATATCTACTTATTTAATATCACGTCATATTTTATTAAATACCACATAAAATTATAAATTTATAATCATTTTAATATTGTAACTATAACATTACTACTTTGAACAATTATAGGCGTCCGGTAAAATGAGATTTATGGGCCCTATTGGCCATAGTTATGGCTATTATTATTTTTCATAAAATCATTAAAATTATCAAATTTTTATTGTAATTTAATTGTTAAAAATAATTAATATATTTTTTTTTAACAAGTTGTCAAAGTATAGGTTCGAAACTCACCCATCGAAACCTGCTTATGGAGGAGGGAGAATGCATCTCAAACTAGCAGGCTGCCAGTTGACCCGAAAGACTAGGTGCTAAAAATAATTAATATTTAGTATTTAACGGATAAGAAAAAAAAAATGTTGCTCCCCATGACCTCGGCTGCCCTGTTCTTGGTCAAAATGCCAAAGTAACCACGGCACCCAATTCCTCTCAAATTAGAAAAGTATTAGGAAGTATAAGAAACGTTAATTATCCAGTCAAAAGCAAAAAAACTTCACTATCAGAAAATCAGAAAGCTTTTCTGCCTACTTTTCAAATGCAATTCGAAAGTCGACGTTCCAAGTAGAGACTGAAGCCCCACCCTCCGGGCCCTAGGAAGTGGATTTGTTGAACCACTTGCAACATGTATTGAAAAAGAAAATGGATTCCACTTGCAATAAACATTCTTTATTTCTTGTTCATATCCCGTCACCAGGCAGTGCCTTTATTTGTGAAAGGATTCTTCTGACCTACGGCCTTAACGTATAAATTAAGAATATTTTATTAATATTAATTTTAATTATTTTATATTAATCAATATTTTAAAAAATATATTAATTACACCATTGACTTATAACCATTGACTTATAACACAGATTAAATAAATCTCTGGCCAAAAGGTTACTTTATGGAGTGGGAAGGAAGCCGTAAAGGCCGAAGTCAAGATTTCGAAACTTCATAAGTTCCATATTTCTACAATCCCACATCACTCTAGGTTCTCTATTTCTCCATTACAACCACCCTGGACTATTGCCTTGATCCGTTTACCCATCAATCAAGCAATCTTCAAGAAAGACTTACTTCTGATAGTAAGAAATGGGCAACATTATTAATCACTTGAGTTGCATTCATTTGTCAACCCATGAAAGCGGTGATTAAGGATTTGAATCGGTAAACTAGGAAACATGATTTTTCAAGATAGCATGCGTAAGACTTACTGTCAGCAACAAACTCGACCATTCTAATTGGTAGAAAAAATAGAACACCTAGCATCCCATTTAGACCAACAAGTTTCACGGACATACTGACAACTAACAAACCAATTTTATAGACTTACTGACAACTAACAAGCTTTTAGTATCGGTCAAAGGAAGAAGGGCGCAGCGCTCTGGGTGGACGATCATAAGGAGCAGGCCTGTTTCTGTAGCCTCTTCCTTCATCCCGTGGTGGCCCTCCGGTTGCATACCTATTGCTTCCTCTTGAACCAATGTCCCTGTCATAGCCTCTATCTTTGCCATATCCATTTTGAGGGAAGCGATCAGAACTGCCATATCTGTCACCAAACCGATCTCCACCTGGTGGATACCTGGATTGTTTTCAGAAAATAAATTAGTGTCTAGGGTAGCTCAGCTTATATGTGAGAGCAGGGGCACAGGAGGATATAACTACCAGAATTTATTATGAAGGTTAAATTGTTCTCTCTAGTGACAAAACTTATAGCAAAAGCGTGAAAAAATTATGCTTATACTGCACAAACCTGTCAGAAACATATCGATCCCGACTACCACCATATTTGTCACCTCTGCTGTCAAAACGCCCCTTATCTCCATATCGTCCACCATCATAACGGTCATCAATGTAGCGATCACGGTCTCTAAAGCGATCTCCATGGTCATCTGGACCTCCATATTTAGAGCGTGAAGATAACATGCTACCTTGGCCACCACCAGCAGAAGGGCAATCCCTAGCCCAGTGCCCAAAACGCCCACACTTGAAGCACTCATCTTGTGCTACAGGCTTGTCTCCAGCTCCATAGCTTCCCCTGCCACTCGATGAGTAGCCACCCCTATAGCCATGGTCAGCATCCTCTCCCCCCATTTTTGGTTGGGCCTTGTTCACAGAGATGATACGGTCTCCTAACTCCCGGCCATGCATTTCTCTTATAGCATCATCCATGGCTCGGCGATCCGCAAAAGTAATAAAGCCAAAGCCACGTGGACGGCCTGTATCTCTCTCCAACATGATCTACAGGAACACACATGAGAGATGCTGATGCTCATAAAAGAGAGTGAATGCAAGTACTAAACAACAGGTTGGAACAATGTCACACTTCATCAAGCAACAGATAAAATCAGAAACACGATTTACTGTACATCAGATGATACTAGGAAACAAGAACATGCTTATGACAATCAATATAAGATTACCAGAGGTGGGATACGCGTATCCATACTCTCAAACTTCCAAATACCTGTAACTTGTGACTCCTATTTAACATATTAATGTGCAATAGTAAAAGTAACCCCACAAAATTATGTGTCAAAGCAGGACCCTCCCTCTATCTTCAAAATAACTGAGGGATAAGAATAAAATAAAGTAAAGAAAAAAGGCGACCAGGATCTCTTCTTGCAGATCTATCAAGCAAATGAGAAACAGAAGTAACAAAATAAATTTTTGAGAGAGGATTCATCAGCTTAATGCTAAGGTCAATGTGGACTGTTAAAACAATGATCTGTATAATATTGAACAGCTATAGAGAAAATGAACAAGCAGATAACTTACTGTCTCATTGTTATGGTGGACAGGGCATCAACAAGAGTTTGATATTGCAAGGATTGTTAAACAAAACACAAGAGTCTGAAAAATTTCCTTTTCTCATCTGGCAAAACAGGTGATTTCTGACCTCAATTTCCTACAATCTGAATTACCAATTTAAAACAAATATAGTTTTCTCCTTCCTTATTGCTCTTTCTAAAACAAACAGAACCACAGCAGTTAAATCAGCCAGAGGCACTACCATTAAAAGATGGTTGTTACCACCAGTCACAGTCACCAAACAAAAGACCATAAACATCATCATCAATACCAATCATGCTCCAAGCCATAAACATTTTCCGTAACAACCAATCTGTGTCAATCTATCACTTAATCAGCATACAACAGACTATCACCACAAAGATTACGCCAAATGCTGCCCTTGGTGATACAGATTCCTTGATCCAGACATCAGCGAGACCAAACAAATCCATTACATATGCAGTCCAGAATCATGGCAGATATTATGAAGACGTCTGACCAGTGGAAAACAACGCTTAGGAACTGATATTAATACCTCCAATGTAATTAGATTATATTTGGGACTGGAATCTAACACTTAAATAACATAATCCTCCAATCTGCATGCCACCAGCTGATGGTACATACCAGATTGTTGTGTCACAGGGCAGAATGCATAGGAAAGAAAAAGAGAACTTTCCAACTAGAGAGTGCAAGTACTGAGCTTTCAATATCACACAGATTCAGCATTTTAGGTGGCGGTTGCAAAAACTAGATTGTCCAAAAATCCCTGCTTCTCATTCCCTTCAACTTTTATCATTAAGTCTGAAGGTCAAAGTGCAGCCAATAATGCTGTCAAACATCACAACCTACTAGAGCTGAGACAGTGATGAATCTGTTCTCTGCCACATGGTATGTAGAAATGCAGTCACTAGCTTGTGATAAGTGAGTCTGTCACTCTGTCAGAAGAAAGTAGTGAAGGTAGAACGATAAATTGTGGTTTGCTAAATACATTGGCTAATATATCCTCCCTGAGAACTAAGATCTGGGTTTTCTATAATGATATTCATGATTTAAGGCCTCTTCAACCAATTTGAAATTTACTATAGGTAGGAACCACACAACTGTATTCTTATTCCAAAACAATAATGAAGCTTTCCCTGAAATTTTTCTACAACTTAAGCACTACTTCAATCTAAATTCCTGCAACTGTGAATGAGCTCGCAGTGAACAAATTTATGACTAAACCACTACTGACTTCATTCTAAATCAAAGCAACTTTGAATTTCAAAGCGCATTCACAAGAAGTATCTCACACAAATGAGGCTACAAGCAGGACATGAACCAATCAAATTGGCAGCTACAAGGATCCCAACCCAATAAAAAGCAGGCAGTTTTGGCCTCTGAAACAAACTGCAGAAACATGCACAGCATACAAAACTGCTTTTGCAGTCACTGAGAATCTAACCTCGTTTAAAACTGCGGGATAGAAACAGACTATATAACTAAATATAAGCCACTGAAATAGATGGTTGCTGATCTGCACTAACAATCAAATGGACAAGGGTAAGCAAAGCCTGCAAAATCTTCATCATTATGTTTTCGCATGAACAGCCACTTGGGAAACAAGGCATCTTAGTTTAAAATTCCCGAACATCAGAGTAGGCTCCTCGACTTTCAAATTTCAGAAAAAAACAAAAAAATTTACGGCTCATCCCTTCAACCAACATCGTTTTAACCAATTAAACTCTCTCCACAGATACCAATTTAACAGATTCAGCTATTTACTGTAGCTCCTTCCATGAACCACATACCACTATTTTTTTTCCTGGACTGAACATTAACAAGTACCATCAGGAATAATCTAAAAACAGAGATGTTATTGCACTTCAGCAACTTGACACAATTAAATGTCATTACCAGCATCCCAACAAGATAAGTAAAGGAAAAAATTAATACAAAAACAAGCTTTCTCTGGTGGCAAGCAAATTTAAAATTTTTTTCCCAGTAGTATCCCACCAAAGTGGTTTTAAGTTTAAAACATTTTCCCAGCAATACAAAATCATGATGCTCAATCTCTTTTATCCTTCTCCATTTATGAGCAATCAGAGGAAAAACAATCTCTTTAAATAAAATTGAAGTAAAGAAAAGAAGAGGGTACCTGAGACTCGAAAATTTTGCCGAAGCGAATGAAGGCATCCTCGAGCTGTCTTTCAGTGATGTCCCATGGCAACCCTCCCACAAAAATTCTGTAATCTTCCTTCCCTGCCATTGCTTAGACACACAAAGAACCCTCAATTAACCTACAAAACCAAAAGTAGAACAAAAAATATCAGCCAAAAATCCTGGAGCCTCTGTTTGTTTCCCGAGAAAATGACGGAGTGAAACAATTTTCTCAGAGGAGCGTGAAGAGATTGAAAACCAGACAAAAAGGAGAAACCTTTGGCTTGCCTCGGTGCCGGTGGTGCGTCGCGACGAATTATGCGTGTTCGGATTTTGCGAGAAACCCTAGACGATTTCAACTTTCAAGCGATTTTGGGTCTGAAGGTACAACTTGGTAAGAGTAAGTAAGAGGAAGATAAATTACAATGGGCTTGGATATGGGCCTCCAGTCTTAGGTCTGTTCCACTCAAAATGGGCCTTAATACCAAAGTTGACCCGCCCAGAATAAAAGTAGAACAATAAAGGACAAAGAAAAACAACCAAAAAAAAGAAAAAGGTGTTTTGCAATCTATATTTCAAAATACAAACCACATTGCAAAATCCATTAGGTCTTGAGTTCGAGACATTGTGTATGCAGTAGGTCCCGTTGAGAGACTCACTCATCATTTTTAGGTGCGCGACGCCAGTCGGGTCCGAATTAGTCGGGCGAAATCCCGGATACCGAACGAAAACCAAAATAAAAAAAAATCCAAATCACTGGATGAAAAAGGCCATCCCCTCTTGGACCTCTCCTGTTATCAAAAGACCCCTCCATTCAAATGACTAATAGGCTTGGTTGGATTAGTCTTTTTAAAATAACCGATAATTCATAGTTAATATTTGATTATTAATAATTATTAATAGTTATAATTTAAAATATTTAATTTATTTGATTAAAATTAATAACTGTATCTAATAAATTAAAATAAAAACCTTGTAATATTTTATAGTACATTACAGTAAAAATTATAAAATATCAAACTCATAAAAGACACATGATTTATTTCTCTACGGGCAATGATAAATGTCAATCTTATTTTGGGGTATATTGGTCAAATATAATGTTATTTAGCATTTCATAATTGAAGACTGTTAACAAATAAAATTGTATACTTTACAACATGAAATAATTATCTACATAACCGTACATGAAAAAGGTATATGCATCATCAAAAGATTGATGACTTATTTGGGCAGAAGGGGCAACCTGGTAACACTAGTACCTCCGCCATTGCCAGTTAGCGGCTTCAAGCTTGTTCCTTTGGGAGATTTGGAGGATTTGGAAGGTGGCTTCTTGTTTAGTTTCTGGGGAAGAATCTGCAACCTGGGGTTAAGCTCGCAACCTGAATTTTCAGCAGCCAATTGATAACTTTCTACCAACTCAAGCTGTCGGGCAACTATTTCAGAGCGTCTTGGAAGAAGCTCTACAGGTTCACCTCCAGGAATCACTATATACTCAATTGCAAGACGAACCTCCTATCCAAAAACAAAGGAAAAGATTTGTTGAAGGTGAGGTGAATGTTTGCACTATACACAATAAAGTTTTGCATCCAAGACTATTGGATTAGAAAAGTCTAGAAAGCAAATTGTCAAATTAATAATCAGATTAGGAGTAAGGAATTGCACCTCCAAGGCATCAATCTCTTCCAATGTGGGTTTTCTCTTTGGTGCATCATCTTCAATCTCTATGTCAAGAGGATTTGTTTGTGACTGATGTGGTCCTGAACCGGATGATTCCCTTTCAAGAATCATACGAACTGCCTTCACCATTTGTGCCATGGTATTTGACTGCAAAATACAGGAAAAGGAACATTTGGTTCATCATACACACCTTAAAATAGTGAATTTCATTCTTGTAACTTATTCCATTCTAACAACTTCTACTTATGATAACTTGTGGCCTTCATAGTTCAGTAGCCACCTGCATCACCACACAAGCTTTTAGCAAAAAGGGAAAAATTCAAATTTCTCATACCCTAATGACAAATACTGGCAGTTTGTGGAATTTAGCCACACCACGGATCCATGGATTCTGCTTCAATTCTGCAGAAGAAGCCAAAATTACATCTGCCATTGCAATATCATCTGTAACATCTATTTCATCTTCAAGCCCCATTACCGTTGCTACTTGTAACAGATCAGCTTCCAGGATCTGAGAACCACATCCAACAACACAAAACATCAGTAGGGTCATGCAGATTGGGAATTGTGAAATGTGAAGATCTCTATCACAAAATAGGACACCAGATCTCATTAAGTTTATCAAACATACAGTATCCTGCAGTCCACTAATATGTAATTCATGATAGAATTAAAATTTTAAAACTATAAAGTGTCTGATACACTCCCCAAGAAACATTTTCATCTTCTCTCTCTTTTATACATTTCCCCAAGTAACCTTGACTATTGTTCATGAGTAACCTCAATTTACAAAGTGTGGAAGAATAATGCAAAAAACTTTTGAACTTAACCTTGTAAGTATAAACAAATATTGGTGAGCTTCTTTTACTCATAGAACCATTAGCACCCCTTTTGTGAAACCGATTAGGAAGATAATCTTCATCTTCTTCATCAGAAAATACTTCAGCACTCTTTTCTTCCTGAAGGGACATCTCAGATACTTCCATATGGTCCTTTTTAGATATTACAATAGGCTTGAGAGAATTATCAGCATCATCATCCAATTGACGGCTTTCAAATAAAGGAGATTTTCCTGAAAAATTAAGTGCTTCTAATTCAGAGCCTCTTTGCCTAAAAAATTCAAATCAAATATGTGCAATTAGATACTGAAACAGTGATCTGAAGAATGTGTTTTACCCGCCAGTATAGTGTCTACTGTGGCATCAAGTCTGTGATGAACACGGCACTCAGTCCTAGATATCAGTTCAACTGCGCATGTAAATGTTGGTGGCCCCTTTCTTTCAAGAATTGTCTTCTGCACTTTCCTTTTCTTTGCTTCCTCATCCCCGAGGGTTACACTCTGTTTTCAGATAAAAGAATAGCAAGGGATCAATTGTAAACATAATCCAGAATAGAGCATGTCTGCACTCATATGAGTGATAGAAAGTGGATATTAAAGAAGTTGTCCTGCACCTCAATGCCACCAACAAGGATCTGAAGAGACGGATTCTTTATTATGTTTTCAATAGTCATCCCATGGGCTGTGCCAACCAACTGTACTCCTCGTTGAGCAATTGTGCTGGCAGCTAATGCTTCAAGTTCTGTACCAATTTCATCAATAATGATGGTTTCGGGCATATGATTTTCAACTGCCTCAATCATAACCTGCATGGCAGTTAAGCCATAGGAAAATTACATACACAATTAAATTTCCAATCCAGTGACTTGGATATTAGAGCAATGAGAAGAGCCACAGAATGGAGAAAGAAACTCACATTATGCTGCATATTTACATTAGGAACCTGCATCCTCCTTGCACGCCCTATTCCTTCATGAGGGACATCACCATCACCTCCAATCTCATTTGATGTATCTACAATGACAACACGTTTCTTGTGCTCATCTGCCAACATTCTAGCTATCTCTCTGCAAGGATGAAAATTCTTCAGATAAATAAATATCACAATTAGTACAGCTACTTAAGTTCACAAATATTGAAAAGTTAAGTACCTGATTAAAGTAGTTTTGCCGACCCCAGGGGGACCTATGACCAAGATGGAACCACCATCCTCAACTAAGTCACGTATGATCCCTGCACTTCCAGACACAGCTCGACCAACACGACAAGTGAGGCCAATGATTTGCAGTTTACGGTTTCGAATGGCACTTATACGATGTAAAGATCTATCTATACCCGAGCGGTTATCATCCGAAAAGTCCCCAACCTAAAAGAAAAAGTGACGTATACACTGTCAACCTACAACCATTCAAATTCAAATGCTGTGCTTGTAAATTAATATTATTGCTAATCCATCAATTCTACTCAGCATACAAAAGCTGACCATATCACAAAAATTATATGTTATACAACAAATATCAATAATCCATCTTTAAAATGATTAGATCCATAGTATAGAAGTCATATTTAAATAATACAACAACTAGCTCCATATATGGTCCATTAGTTAATTAGTAATGACACCATTAAAACTTAAAAGTCAGAGTTACATATCATTTGAAAGGAAAACCCATGCTTCAATAAAGCTCCAAAGTTATACAATTTCACTTAACCCCACCTTGGATATAGCGTGCCTGAGATCCTCATGCTTCACGGGCTGTTCCGAGATCACCCAGTCACCGGATGGAAACCGGCCAAGAGGCTTGCGCCCCAAGTCCATAACCACCTCAATCAACTCCCCGATCTCTTGATGCCTGCTAAGCTCCTTTCTCATTCTCAACGGCAACATTTCAAGGAACAGCTCCATCTCTGTACAGACCTCAGCTCGCGAAGTGGAAGCCAAATTTGGAGAATCGCACGAATACCCATTTGAGAATGAGGTCCGGTCAGACGGCTTACGGATATTGGGGTGTCGAAGAACAGACGATGGAGATGGCTTCAGAGAGGCCTGTCTTTTATGGGCGCCCCCTGTTCGACGAAATGACGAAGAGAACGAGGTAACAAAATGACAGTGCTTTCGGTGGTTCCATGATGTGCTGCTATTGATGTCAATGAGCACAAATCTTGGGTTCAAAGCTCTCATGTTATGGCCGCCGGAATTGTATTTCTGTTATCTATGGTTGTGTATTAGGATCGAGTAAAAAGAGGAAGAAGATATGGGAGGGTGCGGGTGGAGAAGATTCGGAGGGATCTCCTCTGGGATTGGAGAAAAAGTGGGGCCGGAGAAGAGAGGCAACCACCAGTTAACGACCATGGAAGCAAAGAGATTGGCGTTGGCGGCCACGTGGGGATTTGGACCACACTTGTCTGAGGACGGAGAGTTTTGATTGTCTTTGTGCTTCGGCTGTGGCTTCGGCTGGCTTAATTTTCAAGAACTCTTTGGAAGACTTTTCTAAAAAGTGCTATACTTGAGCACTCCCACCTATTAATTTATTAAAATATTTTTAATAAAATTATTTTTTGTTTTTAATTTAAATATTTTAATAATTTTATAAATTAAATTATATTTTTAATATATAACAAAACGGGTACAAGGTGAATTTTTTATTTTTAAACATGAAAGAATTTTGGGGAATAAAGAATATTTTTTCAAGTTATTAGTAAGAGTCAAAATTTTTAATCAATTAAATTCAAATAGTAAGAGTTGAGTATGAATCATTTTTATTTTTCAAGTAATCATAAAAAATATATATCAATCATACATGTAAAAAATTAAATGAAAAAAAAAATCAAAATTACGTTATTTTAATAAGCATATATTGAGAAAGACTACAACATCTTAACTTTTAAGATAAGAATGAGGTTATTTTAGGTTTTTTTGGTATTTTATTGAAATAATATAATTTTAGGTTTTTTTTTCATTGATTGAAATTTTAGGCAATGATTGAAATGATATATTTTTTAGGTTGTTTTTGAATTTTAGGTTTGTTTAATATAGAAGTTTTTTAGTGGTTAACTACTCTTTTTTGTCCTTCAATTATTGAAGGAAACCCTTTTTTAATTTTTATATTAAAAAATTTCTTTTTAAGTCCCTAAAAATTGAAATCCGACCTCTTTTTAGTATCTTTGTAAAATTTTTTTGACAATTGACAATTAATTAACAAAATTGTGTAATGTGTAAAATCCATTTTATAAACAAAAAATCATATGAATATATTTTTGAATCCCCGTCAACACCTTCGCCTTTCTGTTTTTTTTTTTAACCTTATTGGGTTCGTCCTGGGTTCACAAAGAACCCAGCAAACCCAGGACGAACCCAGGCGCCTACAGTCAAATATTAAACAAACCAGCCTTCGTTTCAGTCCTTCAACCAAACCTTGACCTTTCCATCCCTTCTCACCTTCATCATTATCAGATAATTTCAAGCATATATTCCCAAAAAGATGAATTCAAATGTTAATTAATTCTGTGAAATTTTCTGGGTGTTTGTTTTAATGGTTTGGGAATTTGGAAATTTTTTCTTGGGATGGAAATGGAGTGCATGGAAGCAAGAGCGTTGAAATCAAGGGAACTAAAGGAACAGAGTCCGAAATCGAACCAACAAGTTCTTCTTGAGGATTATTGGTGTTTGAATGGAGCTAATGGGGTTCCAACTTCCAAGTGATGATTTTTCTGTTGATTGTTTTCTTGAGGGGCAAATAAGTAATTGTAAAATAACTTTTAAAATATTTATAGCGATAATCATGTAATTAAATGATTTTTAAAATTATATTATATAAAAAATTTGACTATATCAACTTTTATCAAATAAATTTTTTCACATAAATTAAGTAAAGAAAAAATAAATGTTTTCATTAATTAACATGTTATATAAGTTAAAATCTAATGAAGAGATTAAAAAAATATCAGATTTCAAATTTTAACAATAAAAAAGAGATTTTTTTAGGACAAAGATTAGAAGAGACTTTTTTCCATAGTAAGAGGATTAAAAAGGATGTTTAACCTTTTTTAGTTACCTACAAATTTGAAATGGTATTAAAACTTGTAGTATGAAAATTTGAGTAGTCTTTTCTATTTTTTTCTATTTTTTTACGGAGCTGTGAAACAGGGTACATAAAAGCGGCGAAAAGACTCCGACCTGCCGGATTCGAACCAGCGACCTAAGGATTAGCTGTGGGCATTACCCGACTACAGTCCTCCGCTCTACCAACTGAGCTAAGGTCGGTTTCTGGTTGTTGGCACGGAAATAAAATTATTAGTATTATCTATGAGAGTAGATATTATTATTTATTATTTAAAATATCTATTCTATTTTATTAGAATCAATAATTAAATAAATATTTACAAAATATCAAAACAGACATCTCAATAGACCGTTTTGACACCTAAAGCTTTCACCTAATCCAAGAGAAAACAAACATTTATTTCGGACAATGGTTAAGAATAGATTTTTATCATAAACATACGTAAAAATTATAAAATTTAATATTAATTTTAACAATATTATCTATATATTATATAAAATGCTACCCTATGCATTTAATAGGGTATGCATTAACTAATTCAAGAGAGAAAAAAAAAAAGAGAAAGTGCTTGAAATTTAAAAAATAAAAATTGTAAATGATAATGAAAGTGGTAGATGAAGAAGCAAATGAATGATCTAAGCCTTATATTGATCTTGGGCTAAGTTGGGAGGCCCCACAGCCTACTTGTCTCAACTATGGGTTTAATGGGCCCATGGTCCTACCATTAGTATGAAAAAGGTGTAGGGTTGTAGTTGGACTTGGTCATGATCTCTTTTCCAAAGTTCCCACAGAAGAAAACTCATTGCCATTACAAGTCTTAAGAAGAAGATAAAATGGACATGTGATTGGCAAGCTGGGAAATCAAGGTGGTGGATGGACAGCTACCTATCTCTTCTTTTTCACGGTCAGACCATGAGATACCCACAACTCAGTATAATTGTTCACAAAGATATGTATATCAACCTTTTGATGAGTTGTACATCACCTTACACATTGATTTGTAGTTACTAATACCATTTTCTCAATCAAGAAAATAGGAAGAAAAGCCTTTTAAAGCAATTTATAAATTGATCAAACTATGTAGTGATACAATGAATAAAAAGTCATCATCAACTTCATTCAATCAAAACAAGAGTTTCTTTTCCAAATTTCAACAGCACATCACAGACATTTAAAAGAAAAAAACAAAACAAAAAAGAAACAAAACAAAACAATTGACAAAACAATTGACAAGGAATAAAAATAAAAATGAGGATTTCATCTCTCGAAAAATAAGGAAACCTCACCCAATTACCAGCTCTTGACACTATACATCATTTCCCATGTTACATAATGTGCACTGCATGTGTTGAAATGCTACCCTATGCATTTAATAGGGTATGCATTGAACTAATTCAAGAAAAGAAAAAAAAAAAAAGAGAAAGTTCTTGAAATTTAAAAAATAAAAATTGTAAATGGTAATGAAAGTGGTAGATGAAGAAGCAAATGAATGAAAATTGTAAATGATAAAAGTAAATGATGAATGAATGTGATAGATGAA